AAAATAGCAACAACCAAAAAAGACAAAGAAGGAGCAGACTACAACATAGCGTCCACAAAAAAAGCCGCCGGGGCCTATAACGTAGGAACAAGAATAAAACAAAAAAATTAACTCACCCATCCCCTATGGTTGCCATGCGTTTACAGGAAAAAGTGAAACATATTTAGCCAACACGAAGCTAGTATATTGAGCGACGCAAAGGCACATCACACATAAAAAAAGATTACTGTCACTCATGACGGTAGAAATAGATTTCAGTGGTTTGTTTATAGTAGTTTTGAGCAGCTCGGAGCATTTCATGTATTCTTTTCTTTACCCTGCGCACAAAAAGACAGGCAGTTTGAAAAGACTAATCGTTAAGCTGAACGGGATTCAAACAGATAAAAAGAACTCTTTACACGGCAAAGAATCACACCCTTCTAAAGACAATTTAGGCAATTCTTTTAGGCCAAGCAAAAGATGTTTCGCCTAGATACCGGGCGGACAGTCAGAAAATCTCAGAAAAAAAAGGAAAAAATATAAGGCCTACTCGGAGTTAAACCACCAACCTCAGAGCGCAAGTTACGTACTGCACATCGGAGGACAGCTGATTCTCTGTAAAGTAAAGGGCGGAGAGGGCGGAGACGGGGGCTCCATTCACAGAAGGACATGCAGTATGGCCTTGGCTATCTTATTAACTAAGATACCAAATAGCTTAGAGTATGGAAGATCTCTCTCTCTCCCTCGCGCGCGCGTGTGTGTGTGTGTGTGTGTGTGTGTGTGTGTGTGTGTGTGTGTGTGTGTGTGTGTGTGTGTGTGTGTGTGTGTGTGTGTGTGTGTGTGTGTGTGTGTGTGTGTGTGTGTTTTAGTAAGTGTTTTACGGCACTTGCAACACAATAAGGTCATATAAGTGCCGAAGATAAGAAGTGTTACAAGAGAGTAAAAGACACAAAGAAGAAGGGGAGATGAGGATGATAGATGTTTGATAGGAAAGAAGGAGCAAACCACACTGGAGCACCCGCCAACCATCCACTGTGTGCTTGTGTGTGTGTGTGTGTGTGTGTGTGTGTGTGTGTGTGTGTGTGTGTGTGTGCGTGTGCGTGTGCGTGTGCGTGTATGTGTTTCACTGTTCCTAATAAATGTTGTAAAAGAGAAGCTCGTTTCGTCTAACCCTGGCTCTAACTCTTTTTCGTTCTCCATCTACAACGAACAATTTACCATCTTCATCACCGAAATTGGTAGATTATCGGGAGATGTAACCGTTGGAACGGTGAAATAACATACATGAAAATCACAACGGATTTGCAGAAGCGGGAAAATTACTTCCGTTCGCCGTTCCTGGTCTTCATCCCTTTTCACTCGGACATCTCAGGTTAACTTTTGAAACGGCTTCGTCTAGTTTTAGTTTCACTTAGAGTTTTACGCCACCTGTAACACAATTATTTCATATTTATAAGTGCTGAAGATTTAGGATGCTGCTTAAGACTAACAAACACACAAAAATGAAGAGGACGACAGATGTTTGACAGGAAAGAAGGCGCAAACCACACCCGAGATCCCGCAAACCACCCACAATTATGATCTAGTCGGGCACAAAATACATAATAATATGAAAAATTATCTTTTATGAAAGCTCCTTACCCGCGTTCGAATTGTGCTCACGCTCTGCGTTCATCGAGATTCAAGTACGTCATACGTCATATCGACTTTTTCGCAACGCAAGTTCGGAGTGTAAGATTAGACTCGCTTTTTTTGCCTCAAAATAGTACGTCGTGGACACCCACCACCACATGACGTGGGTGGCACAACAACAGTAGCACCCTGCCAATACACACTCCGAAAGTTATGATTACTTTGTATAAAGCTCTGTGACATATTAGACACCGCTTCCGGGGTTTTGGAATTGATAAGCGTCACCGGAATCATAGTAAAGCATAAAGGGGAATGGTCCTAGCGATTTCCAAACCCTTAAAAAGAACATGACAACGTGTTATTACTGTTTTCTAAACATGAGAAAATCTTATCATTTCTGGTCTCTCATGATGAACACTCGATTCAGAATACCTATGAAAAGTCACAAAACAAGATTGTGGATATCTATTTCTTCAATAGTTTTATAATTATACGACAAGCAACTCCCAAATACACGATAACAAACACAGTACTCTCACCCCCCTCTCTCTAACTCTAACTCTCTCTCTCTCTCTCTCTCA